AATACATGTCCTCCTAATACATATGGGATTAGGGTTATATACTACTATTTATACAATGAAACTAACACTCCCCCTCAAGATGGTGCATATAAATCATATGTATCGAGCTTGTTACATATATAACTAATACGAGGACCAGTGAGGGACTTGGTGAAAATATCAGCAAGCTGATCATTTGACTTTACAAATTTTGCAGCAATATCTCCCGAGAGTATCTTTTCTCTAACAAAGTGACAGTCAATCTCGATGTGTTTAGTTCTCTCATGGAACACTGGATTTGACGCAATATGAAGAGCAACTTGATTATCACATACAAGTCCCATCTAACTAATCTCACCAAATTTCAACTCCTTGAGCAACTGTTTGGTCCAAATTAGCTCACATTTGGCCATAGCCATTGCTCGATATTCTGCTTCTGCACTAGACCGAGCAACTACATTCTGTTTCTTGCTCTTCCAAGACACCAAATTTCCTCCTACTAAGACACAATATCCAGACGTAGAACGTTTATCAGAAGGTGATCCTGCCCAATCAGCATCTGAGTATCCAACAATCTACTCATGGCCTCGATCTTCAAACAATAAGCCTTTGCCTGGAGCTGATTTTATATACCGAAGAATGCGGACAACTGCATCCCAATGACTATCACAGGGAGAATTCGTAAACTGACTCACAACACTCACAGGAAAGGAAATGTCAGGTCTAGTCACTGTGAGGTAATTTAATTTACCAACCAACCGCCTATATCTTGCAGGATCGCTAAGAGGCTCCCCCCGTCCTGGCAGAAGTTTAGAATTCGGATCCATCGGAGTGTCAACAGGTCTACAACCTGTCATTCCTGTTTCCTCAAGAATATCTAAGGCATAGTTCCATTGTGAGATCACAATACCTGAGCTAGACTGAGCGACCTCAATACCCAGAAAATACTTTAATCTGCCCAGATCCTTAGTCTGAAAGTGCTGAAAGAGATGTTGCTTCAACTTACTAATACCATCATGATCATTGCTGGTAATAACAATATCGTCAACATAAACGACCAGATAAATACAGAGATTTGAAGCAGAATGTCGATAAAATACAGAGTGATCAGCTTCACTACTAGTCATGCCAAACTCCTGAATAACCGTGCTGAACTTACCAAACCAGGCTCGAGGAGACTGCTTTAGACCATAGAGGGATTGGCGCAACCGACATACAAGGCCACTAGACTCCCCCTGAGCAACAAAACCAGGTGGTTGCTCCATATAAACCTCATCCTCAAGGTCACCGTGAAGAAAAGCATTCTTAATGTCCAACTAATAGAGAGGCCAATGGCGAACAGCAGCCATGGATAGAAAAAGGCGGACTGATGCAATTTTAGCCATGGGAGAGAAAGTATCACTGTAATCGAGTCCAAATATCTGAGTATATCCTTTGGCAACAAGACGAGACTTAAGTCGATCAACCTGGCCATCTGAACCAACTTTGACTGCATACACCCAACGAAAACTAACAGTCGATTTACCTAAAGGAAGAGGAACAAGCTCCCAAGTACCACTCGTATGTAAAGTAGACATCTCGTCAACCATAGCCTGTCGCCATCCGGGATGAGACAGTGCTTCACCTGTAGACTTAGGAATGGAAATAGAGGACAAAGATGACACAAATGCACAATGGGATGATGAGAGACGATGGTAACTTAAACCGATATAATGAGGATTAGGATTAACTGTGGACCATATACCTTTTCGTAGTGCAATCGATTGATTAAGAGGAGACAAGTCCACAGTATTAGCAGGGTCAGGTGCAAGACGTGAATCAGCTGGGCCTGATGCTGGGGGCGGACGACGATGATAAGTCAGGATTGGTGGATCTGTAGAAGGTTGAACTCGACTAGGTGGTGGCACTGGAGCTATAGTTGGTGGAACTGGACTAGGTGGTGGCACTGGAGCTAGAGTTGGTGGAACTGGACTAGATGGTGGCACTGGACTCGGTGGTGATACTGGAGCTATAGGTGGTGGAGCTGTAACTGGAACTGTAGGCGGTGGAGCTATGGAGGAAGATGAATGGGAGATAGGGACTAAATCTCCAAAAGAAGGAACATGTAGAACCTCAGAAATATCTAAGTGATTAACTGGACCTGTGAAGTATGATTGGGTTTCAAAGAAGGTAACATCAGCAGACATAAGAAATTGCTGAAGGTCAGGAGAATAACATCGATATCCCTTTTGCGTTCTCGAGTAACCCAGAAATATGCACTTAAGAGCACGAGGAGCTAACTTATCTTTTCCTGGAGTAAGGTCATGAACAAAACACGTACTCCCAAAGACACGGGGTGGAAGAGAGAACAAAGGTAAGTGGGGAAACAGGACAGAGAATGGAACTTGATTTTGGATAGCTGAAGATGGCATACGATTAATAAGATAACAAGATGTAAGAACTGCACCCCAAAAAACGCAGCGGAACATGAGGTTGTATGAGTAGGGTACGAGCAGTTTCAATAAGATGTCTATTCTTTCTTTCAGCTACCCCATTTTGTTGGGATGTGTACGGACAAGATGTTTGATGAATAATCCCATGGGAGTTCATAAATTGCTGAAACGGGGAAGACAAATACTCTAGGGCATTATCACTACGAAATGTGCGGATAGAAACCCCAAATTGATTTTGAATTTCAGCATGGAAGGTCTGGAAAATAGAAAACAACTCAGATCGGTTTTTCATCAAAAATATCCAAGTGCACCTGGAATAATCATCAATGAAACTGACAAAGTAGCGGAATCCTAAGGTAGAGCTAACCCGACTAGGACCCCAAACATCTGAATGGACTAAAGTAAAAGGTGACTCTGCTCGATTGTCAAGACGCCGCGGGAAATGGGAGCGGGTATGCTTACCGAGCTGACACGACTCACACTCTAGAGTGGACAAGTGAGATAAGCCAGGTACCATTTTCTGAAGTTTTGACAAACTGGGATGTCCTAACCGTTTATGTAATAAATCTGGTGAATCAGTAACGGGAGAAGTTATTGGAGGAAGACAAGATGCGAGTCCATGTGATTTTGCAAGGATAAGGTAATAAAGTCCATCTGATTCACGTCCGGTACCAATGATCCGCCCTGTACTGCGTTCCTGTATAAAAACAAGGTCATCAAGAAATAAAACAACAGATTTAAGTGATTTGGCTAAGCGACTGACGGCTATAAGATTAAAAGGACTACCAGGAACATAAAGAACTGAGTCTACAGGTAAGGAAGGAAGCGGACTTGCTTGACCTATTGCAGTTGCCATGGCTTGAGACCCATTGGCCATTGTGACTGTTGGAAGAGATAGAGAATATGAGATACTAGTGAAAAGAGATTTGTTACCAGAAATATGTTCAGATGCACCTGAATCAATGATCCAAGACTCAGAAGGTGAAGATTGGGAGACACCAGTCATGCTACTATTTGTTGGAACAACGGGAAGATGTCTGTTTATGTGCTTTGTACTGAAGGAACTCAATATAATCCGGTAAAGAAACCATCTGGATTGGATTTATTGCATTTAATCCAACGGATTGTGAGTTAAAGGCTTCCGATACGAATTCCATTATAATATCGTGCCGGAAAAAAGCGGAAATTTTCTGGGATCACTGAAGCAGCCGGAAAAATCACTGTAGCAGCCGGAAAAAGTTGAAAATGATCGGAATCTGATGTAAACTTGATGGGTAGGCTCGGAATAATGTCCTGAGAAGGCTGTCCAAAAGGAGTTTCGTCAGAAACTGACCGGAAGAAGGTCCACGCGCCGGTGCGTGAGCGTCTAGTGGCGCGTGGGGGCGCGTGACACTGCTATTGCCGGAGATTTTTCTGGGGTTTGGTCGCCGGGCATTGGCGAGTCTTTTGGTAGTGCTGAATTTTGCACAACACTAACCTAGACAAAGCAGACGCAAAACAAATTTGAAAAGTCGCCGGAAAAAAAGGTTCCGGTGACTGATTTCACTTCCCGGAATCACTGGAATTTATGCACAGCGATAAATCTCTCATGATAGCTCTGATACCATGTGAGGAAGCACGGAGAAAATATATTATTGAATAATTAATTATGACAATGATACACTGAGCCCTATATATATATATATATATATATATATATATATACACACACTACATATCCTACTTCTAATACATATGGGATTAAGGTTATATACTACTATTTGTACAATGAAACTAACATAGAGATTCACTGCCATTTCATTAGAGAAAGGCTACATCAAGGACTGATCAGAACAAAGCATGTTCGAGGCAAGGAGCAAGTTGCATACATTCTAACCAAGGCTTTGGGAAAATAATTATATTGTAAAATGTTATGCAAGTTGGGGATGATCAATGTATTCTATCACCCAACTTGAGGGAGAGTGTAGAAAGTGTTAGTAACAGATTTTACTTGTACCTTGTACTATGAATTGTAGAGTGGTACATAGTAAGTTGTAAGTCAGGTTTAGTTAACTAGGGTTGGTAGTTAAAGGTTAATCATGGTTATGTGTTATGGTTAGTCATCAGGTGGACTTATATAACTATGTGTATAGTGAATAACAACTACATAAGATTCATTCTTCCAATTTTATTTCTCTCTCTACAAATGCTCATCATCATCTCTCGACTGGGTGTATTTCAAAGGTCACTCAATCCTTCCGACAAATAAAATTAATTGTTTATTTTAAAACCAATTTTTAAGTTAAGCAACAACAACAACAACAACAATAATAATAATAATAATAATAACAATAACAATAAGAATAACACTAACAATAATAACAACAACAACAACAATAATAATAATAATAATAATAATAACAACATTAACAATAAGAATAACACTAACAATAATAACAACAACAACAACAACAACAACAACAACAACAACAACAATAATAATAATAATAATAATAATAATAATAATAATAATAATAATAATAATAATAACGAAAAAGGGTCCCTTCCAAATAATATTATCGCCAATTACCCCCTTCTTAAACCCTTCAAACAGAATATAGATAAGCCTCGAAGCTTTTCAGAAAGTAGAGAATGGCCTCTGCTTCCACGACTCTTCGCATTTCCATTACACTCCGCTGTTCAACCAACGACCATCATCTCCTTGTGGGTCAGCCCAGAAACAGAAGCAACGTTGCGTTGCCACTTCACTCTTCGTCCTCTCGTCCCTCTTCCTCCGTTCTCACTTTCTCCCGCCGTCGAAGCAATAGCGCCAATTCTGCTATCACTTCTTCCAAGAAAAAGAATAAGGTATGTACTACTTTGTAAATGACCAGTTTTGTCTACTATACATTTTTCTCGAGTTTTGCAAATTCAAAATTGGGTCTTTGTTGAGAAAATGTTAGCTATTTGTTTCCTTATATTGAGTTATCACAACTTTGATTCACATATGAATGTTACTCCTATAACCGTTGAGCAATTTTCTTGTTTTTACTGATACAGGTTGATGTTTATGAATTTACCTTTTACTTTCATCTGTTGAATAATTTTGTAGACTTTAAGGTGATTGTATGCGTAAATACTTATGCTTCACAAACATATCCTAAGCAATGATTGATCAAAGGCGGAGTGAGGATTTAAAGTTGATGGGTTCGAAATGCCACTAAATCCATTAACTATTTGAGTTGCTGGGTTCAAAATTTAATATTTACACATATTTACTGTATCTTTTAACACATATACACGGCTCGCGCCAAAAGCTACTGTGTTCTGCCAAACCCTGAAGCTTACATGCTACCTATGCCCCTATGAATGATGGTCCCACCCCCTCTTTTTTTTTTGGGGGGGGGGGGGGGGGCTGAAGCATCATTGCAGTGTCGTGATTTTTGCTTAAGATCTTAAACAAAATTGCAAACTGATATTTAATGGTAATTGTTGCACCAGTCAAGTAACTTGTCCACAGGATTTCTTTCTGTAATCATGCCTAACTGTTTTGACATGATTGATCTACTTGCCTGCTGCTTTTAGTATAAGGGGTCAATAGAACATCTTCTTACGTGTGATTGTAAATGTCAGACAGATAGAGTAGCGAACTGCTGATCCATACGTGTAACACTAACTCTGTAGCTTTTACAGTTGACGAGGTGCAGTTTTGTAGACCATTAATCCAAGTTTAGATTTTATGCAGCTATTTTTTCCTGGTGCATGTGAATAACCATCAAAGTAAACTCTGTCCCTTGAACTTCTTCTTGCGCATGTAAATGTCCATCAAAATACCCTGTCTTCTTCACCTGTTTTGATAGCATCCTATTACTATCGTATCTTTCTGGGATGTGGAACATAATTTGTCTCTGGTTTTAATTAGTATGTAGAAGAGATGAAGTGATGAATAATATTTTCATTTTAGACAAGCTTAATGTTTAACGTGTTTTGATAATTTGAGATCTATCACTTGAATATTCAAACTATTTGCCTTCACTAGGAGTTTGCTAGAAACATATCTGTTTTTTGCTTTTTGGTGAAGACTTGCTCATAAACTTGACATCATTAACAACCTCTTCTTTACACCTGAATTTTTGTATCACACGCCTTTTATTTGTTTACTAAACCTGAGGTTTTGTTGTTCGCTTCCTATTTCAGAGTTCACCTAAGAAAGATACTGAGGAAGATGGTGATATAGATGAAGATGCTTTTGAGGCACTCTTTCAGCTGCTGGAGGAAGATCTGAAAAATGATGACCTGTCTCTGAATGATGATGATATAAGTGAGGAGGACCTCGCGAAGTTGGAACGTGAACTGGAGGAGGCACTGAAGGATGATGAACTACTAGGAGAAATTGCCTTAATTGCCAATGAGAAAATTGAGAGTGAGGATGAAGATGAAGATGAAGATGAAGAAGTAGTAGCAGATGATGATAATGAGGATGATAAAGATGAAGAATTGCCAGTGAAATTAAAAAATTGGCAACTTAAGAAACTGGGCTATGCCTTGAGAAAGGGACGGCGTAAGACAAATGTAAGTTGTCATCTTAATGTTAGTCTTCTCAAATTCTGATGCCGCAATTGCATTGCAGCCACTCACTATTCTTGAGCCTTAAGACCACTTTGGTTCACTCGGCTCTTTGCTTGTTCCAGCTTTAAGCACGGTGCGAAGAACATTGGTGCTATCTATCCCTGTGGCTAAGGTTTTCAAATGCTTGGGCAAAATTTACCTTGCTAATCTCATCTGTTCCTATGTACTTCCATTCTTCAGATTCCATTGTTTATGTAGCATTCAACTGGACATCTACTCTTAGCTTGCACCATATTCTTGACGTTAGTTGGATAAAACTATACTAATTTGCAAATGAAGCATATCATTGATAAGTATAAACTGGAAGTTTCGGAACCTGTAGCAGAACTGGAAGAGCAGAAAAATGTGGAAATGTTTCCTTTAACCTCTGCTACCTATTGAAAGAGAATATGTCTAGTGCAGCTAACTCTATAACTTCTAATTCACTTTTTCCTTCCAGATAAAAAATCTTGCTGCTGAGCTATGCCTTGATAGAGCTGTTGTTCTTGAATTACTTCGCAATCCTCCGCCAAACCTTTTGTTGCTGAGTGATGCCTTACCCGATGAACCTGTCCCCAGAATGATAGAGCCTGAAAGCAAACCCCAGGAGACTGTTTCCATAGAGATAAGTGATGTTGCAAGGCCTGTGGCTAAGGTGGAAACGCCAGTCCATGTGATGCAAAGTAGTTGGTCTGCTCAAAAGAGGATAAAGAAAGTCCAACTAGAAACCCTTGAACAAGTTTACAGACGATCAAAGCGGCCCACTGTGAGTCCCATTACTTCTCTATTTGTGTTTGATGCTTTTAAGTCTATGTTGGTAAAATTTCATACCTGAGTAGAGAGCTTCTGCATATTGTTGTTTAACTCTGCACCTGAACAATGGGACTTGGGTGTGGGAAACGGGAAAATGATCCTGTTGACATATCAAATAGTCTGGGATGTAAATTGTTCGTTATTGAGGCCAACAATGTTGAGTGGTGGCTCTTGTGACATTGGAGTTTGGGGGCCAAGTTTAATCTAGGATAAGTGAATCTGCTTTCTTGCTCTCGTTGTCCAAATCTCAACACATCTGTCCTCCCTATCTGTGTTTCCCAATATATCTTGTTTGTTGTTTTCATGTTTATCTTTTTTCTGTTCTTTTCCTTATTTGTTCGGGATGAGGATGGATGTGATGAGAAAATTTAGACACACCTATTTCAGGTTATCTGTTTTGCTCTACTATCCTTGGGGTTGGCATTTGATTAGAAATTGCCAATAACTTTTAAGTTTAAGGTGAAATGAGTGGTTGCTGCAAGCTGTAAACTAAACCCAAGAGATTTGACATAGTAATAACTTTAGTACCGTGTCGATAAATCTAAGAAATGACGCTGTAGAATGGCAACCCATTGCAATCGCAGCTCTTGTTCAATCAACTTAATACCTTTGTGCCCTTCTATTAATAGTTTAAATGCCTGCTAGTTCCCCTATCATTAGGGATCACTTGGAACTTAAAATACTTGGATCACATAATTGAATTAAAAAAAAAAAAAAAGAAATCCCAACTTGTTTCGGGCTGAGGCGTAGTTGTTGTTGTATATAATTGAAGTTATGTATTGCTATTATCAGGCACCAGATGACTATTTTGAAGTAGTTGGATCTCAGGGTTCCTCTCTTTTGCTCTGTAAATTTGATGTTGTTTCTCTTTTCAATTCACAATTGCCTGAATTAGTACATGGTACTTCTTTCTCTTCAACTTCGCGTGGTATGATTAGTTGATATAAGCTGGATACTGATGATTTATTCAGAACTGGTCTGAGCTAGTAGCCCCTGCTAAATCAGTCCAACATTGCACTTTTTATGCGACTCGTGACTCCTCATAATGGTATCTTCGAACTGTACGACTGAGAACGGATATGTGGTTTGCTTGATGTAGTTGCATACAGTTGCTGAGTGCTATACCTAGGATGAAAGAGAGAACATTGTTATCCTTATACTCTCTCTGTTGTGGTGATGCAGAATGCCATGATTAGCAGCATCGTGCATGTGACAAATCTGCCCCGGAAAAGAGTTCTGAAATGGTTCGAAGACAGACGGTCTGAAGAAGGGGTTCCTGATCATCGACGTCCATACCAACCATCGTCTAAATCTTAATAGTTCTATCCTTGTAAGTACCAGCTAAAATAACTAATTTTTGTGTGTTAAACTGGTTTCTCGTGCTATCAGATACTAGAATTATTTCATGCCAACCATCAGCTTCCTTTTGGTATTTATTTCTCAGTGCAGCTATAACAACAGGAGCAAATAATACCCTCTGTAAAGCAAAGATGGCTACAAACAAAAAAGAAGTGAACAACTTTAGTTTCTAAGTTGTGTTGAATTAACTCTATCCTGATCATATAATTCTTAGTAGCAGTTGCAAGTTCTTAATACCTTAGATAGGGATTTGGATCTTTTGACTATTCCTTTTTCCTTTGGGTCCCTTGAGTCTGATATCTGAGAACTCTATAACTGCATCTATTGGGCAAATCTGCCTCGTCAATACTAGTTTAGTTTCTAGTTTGCTTTAACCCCTCAGGGGTTGGCCTGGTGGCAATAGACTTGAGCCTTGGGGTTTGCTCCCTTTCAAGGTCTCAAGTTCAAAACCCACTGGGTGCAAACAATTTCTGAGGGCCATCAGACTGGGTAAAACCTGAATTAACCGTGGTGCACTTGCGGGAAACTCCTTGCCGAGGGCCTGTGCACCCCCGGGATTAGTCGGGGCTCTTAGAGACTCGGACACCCGGTGCAAATCCAAAAAAAAAAAATACTAGTATGCAGAAAAACCAGAAATCTGCAATGCCAATTTGAAGCAAAAGAATTATGCCTAACAATGGAAATTGGATTTCTCTTCAAAAAATTAGGGATATTTTGCTTTTTTGGATAATTAGAGAAAGGGGCTGGTCGTCCCCACTTATAAAGAACTCTATCCATCACGGGTGAATATCAAGTCTCACTTGTTCATACACATAATCAATTAAATTAATCTGGCCTGATACATATCTTTTCACAACTTGAACTAAGATATTATTAGGTCATAACTGTTATCTAATTTACAATAGTATTAATTCCAACAACTGAAGGAACCTTGCTTAGTGATTGCTTCTATATTATCATCAAACATTTAACCTTTCTTCTGGTTATTATTTTCTCTTGTTTAATATTTGGGATATACTTTTATTTCTTTGTTTGAGTAACCTATCCTTTTTATATTATTGAAAATAAGACGTGTTTAATATAATTTCCCAATAAAGTAAGACGGGGTTTAAATTCCTCTCCAACTGCAACTTTGTGTCTTCCAAGAGTCTTTTCTTATATACTAGAAGGGTAGGTAATAATAATTTCTCAGTGGAACACACTCTTTACAAGAGGTTTAAACAAGGATTCACCTTTATTAGCTTGTAGTATGAACAAACCTATGATTTTTCTTCTTCTTCTTGATTTTCCTGCAACAAACAGCAGTACAGACAATAAACCTTATTTCATTCATTTGCAACTCAAGTTCATTTTGGAATTGCTACTTGTACAATGCTGCCAAATTATGAAAATTATTAGTACAATTTTTAGTGCCATCGGTTTATTCTTTGGATCCTTCCATATTGAATTTAAGTATTTAACACATGCTGAACCAGGGCATTAGTCGGCATATCAAGTAAGAAAATCAATTAGTTTTATTTCTCCTGGAGACACTTGACATATAATGTTCTTCTATTCTAATGTGATGCTGAACTTAACCTTGGGACATGCCATCAAATTAATATCTTCATCCGCATGTCAATATTTCATCGTAATTTCATTAGCTAATTAATTACCTTTTGTGGATAGAGCTTTTACAAACTCCTGAATTTTTCAGTGTTGTATGTCTAAAATAAGTTTGCGCATATTGTGCTATGGAAGTATGCCCAGCTGTTCTATTTAAGGCTAGAACCTTTGAATTTATGTAGGTTAGCAGATTCAAATCCCATCCTCATTACACGCACCGGTGTAAGTGAAAGCAGGACAAAACTAAGAGTTAGATGATAAACCACAATAAACAATTCTGAATTGTCCACTAAGAACCATGATTAATAGATAAAAATAATATATTTAAAGCATTAACCCAAACAAAGAGGTCTGTAAAGTAATAGTAGCAGTAGTAGTAGAAGCAGTAACGAAATCCTGGCCTTAATTAGTAACTGAATAATCTGAGCAGGTAATGAATAATAGATCCTTCAAGCATTTGAACAGCACTATTTTTGAAATTGTAATTATTATTTCAATGATTTGATATTAGTTCACAATTACACAAAGGGGAAGGGCATATACCTAGGAGGCTAGGACTAATTGTAAAATAGTCGAGTGAATTATAATATTGTCTACAATTTAAAGACAAAATGGAAGGTATTTGTACATCAATGTCCCTTTACAATTTTGAATTTAAGAAAATGACTTTTTTAGATCTCTTATGTGAAAGATAGATCTCTTACGTGTAAAAGTAAATCTCCCATGTGTAAAAGAAGAGATAGGGTTATAAAACTAAAATCAAGTTTGTAAAGAGCCAAAAAAACAATTGATGAAGAAAGAAGATTCCCAAAAAGTCAAAACCTCCTCTTATCCCAGTAGCGTTTGGGAGCTCAGGGATCTTTGGTAGGCTTAGGCATATCATGAAAGTCTACCATTACGGTCCGTCTCTTCACTTTGTTTTGCTCTGCAACCCTTTCCTCAAGTTTCCTTCTACTTGATTCAAACTTCATTCTCGAACTCTTCATATGTATGATGCTTTGTGTTGGTTTTTGCATTGGTCTTGCAACGGTAGAACTTTGTGATGTCTTTTGATTTGGTCTTGTAATTACACTACAATTGCTCTGTTTCAGTAGCTGCTCTCCTACCTCAAGCCTCCTCTTGATCATCTATGGGGAACAATCTTGTTTTTCTTCTATACTGGTGATAACCTCGTTCATCTTACTTAAACCTCCAGGAGATTTCTTGGTTGTCGATCCCGTGACATAACTCATGTTCTTGCTTTCTGTATCGCCGTACCGACACTTTCCTGTTCTATAGTCTTTTCTTATCACTATCGACATGCTTGTGTTGAACCTTGTTGTTAATGTACTCGATACAGTGGATTTTGTCTTACTGACGTTGTAGTTCCTTTATCGCCCAATAATATGGCGTGTTTCTTGATCAGCTTATTGAAACCTAGAAGAACTCTTCTCCATCTGGTGGAGATATCAACAGAGAACTCAGCACCACCACCACTACTGTTGATTTTTTCATATTCTACGCCACTAACATTGTCGATTACTTCATCTTCTTCATCACTGTTTATTATTATTATTATTATTATTCTATATAATGTACTGTCGATTTCTTCATCACCAACACTCGATTCCTTCAACGACCCTGGTTTTCCCGGATCCAGCAACATCATCAGTATTTCATTTTTGTGCTTCTTAAACTTTGTAGGGTGCTTTAATCAACTTAAATATATCTGGCTTCTTCTCTATTGGCAAAATGGTTTAGAAACGGTGCTTCTAAATCCATGCCTAAACTCATTTATGAACGGCTGTAAGAAAAAAGTGGGGCATTTGCATTTATACCCGCTTTTTGTGTCACGTTTTAACTTGTGCCCGCTTTGCAAAAAAAATTGCAAGCGTACCCGCTTTTTCGCATAACTTCAGCATACGGGGCTGAAATAGCAAAGGTAATCATGCAAAACTTCAGCATTCTAGTAGTCGGGCCTGAAGTTCAGCTCTAGAGCTGAAGTTTTTGTTTTGTAACCGGCGAAGTTTTTGTTTTCTAACTAGCGAAGTTTTTGTTTTGTAACTGGCGAACTTCAACTCTAGAGCTGAAGTTTTTGTTTTGTAACTCGCGATTTGTAACTGGCAAACTTTTTGTAAGTGGCAAACTTCAGCTCTAGAGCTGAAGTTTTTGTTTTTTTAACCGGCAAACTTCAGCTCTAGAAGTTTGTGTTTTGTAACTGGTGAAGTTTTTGTTTTTGTAACCGGCGAACTTCAGCCAGTTACAACTTCAGCTCTAGAGCTGTTATAACTTCAGCTCGAAAGCTAAAATGGCTCTGTAAAAAGTCTTTACATAATAGATTTAACTATGCTACTTATTGCTACAAGTTGTTTTATTCCTATGTATGTGGTGAATTTGCAGAAAGAGACTTGGAGGCGTACTACCATCGTTCTATCGTTTCAAACCCTGGGAATATTATATGGTCGATTAAGCACTGCTCCCTTGTATGCATTCGGTTCAATTAATCCTGGCGATATCAAATCAGGACAGCAGATATATGAACTCGTCTTTACATTTTAATATGAGAAGTTTGAGAAAGAAGAGGCGGATATAACTTTGAGGAGGAGAAAGGGGGCTGAGGTTGTTTAAAAAGTGGGTACAAGTTAAACGTTTAAAAAAAATGGGTATAGGTTAAATGAGGGCGACCAAATAAGACGCCCGTGCAATTTTTACGAAAAAAGTAAGAAACAAAGAGAATAAAGTCGGGTGCTTGAATTGTTGAAAACAACAAGCCCAATGGCAGAAAATTAGCGACTTAATTAAGAACAACCTACGAGAGATAGACATTTCTCTGGAAACCTATTTCGATATGGAAATAGTTTTACAAATTGGTAATATTTCCTAAATAAATTTTGCCACGGGGAAACCCATTTAGATTTGGAAAAGGTTTTAATTTCCTCAATGATATGTTTGGAAATTATGAATCAATAAAAAAAAATGGTATTTTTCTAGAATCTGACCAAAGCAAGCGTGTAACTTTTCCTTTTAATGTTAAATCTAAGATATTGATCATATTAAAATGTATACGCAGAGTCATAAAATGGTCAAATTATGTCAAGATTTTTAAATTAAAATCAATAATTATGTAAAATAAGAAAACAAAGATCCCATAGTTATCTATTGACATCTGCCAAATTGAAATCGAAACGGTATAAAGCTTATGACTCCCATAGTTATTATTCTGTTAAAACACACACTATAAGAAAACACAAATTTGTGACGAAATATTTATGATGGACAAGTACGTCAAAACTTTGTAATTGTTATAAATAAAGACTTTAAAGTAAAAAAATTGAAGACAAGTATAGAGAGAGATTGATGTATTATTCCACTTTCAAAAACTCACGTACATAATGAACTGAAATCTCCTCTATTTATAGAAGAAAGAAAGCTACTGTGTAAGCTGCTACTGCAAGCTGCTTGTAAGCTGCTACTGCAAGCTGCTGTGTAAGCTGCTTGTAAGTTACTTGTGAGTTGCTACTATACCAGATATAGATAATCTTCTACCGGGGGTAATATTTATCCATAACGGCGTACCGAAATGATAAGCTTCTTCAGGAGGCTTATTTTCAATAGAGTACTAAATAGATAAACATATTTACTACGGAGTC